TAGGGTCTGTTATATATTTTGCCCTTATCTTGTCCAAAAATTTATGATTGTTAAATCATGTATTTTTTGGGGGGGTACCAGGGATCAAACTCAGGACCTTGAGCTTGTGAGGCAGGTGCGGTGCCCCTGGGCTAAATTACAGGCCCTAAATCATGTATTTTGATGAGGTAGATCCTTCAACTCCAATCTACATTGTAATCTATACATTATGTTACAGTTTGTATATCTATGTTTCATAGATGAGAATTTGATTTTGGCATTTATGAGTCAACATTTGGACCATATTTTATTATATTCTCTTAAAATCTTATACCTTATAGTGCATCCTTTTTGAATAATGAATGGATAACTTTCTGAACTTTTTAATCCTTCTAAAGCTTTACTTTTTGCTCTAATATTGATCAAGCTGTTTTCAATTAAATGCTTCATTGTAACTTCCAATTAAATAGGTTCTGTATAAAATTTTAGGATTGGAGGAACTAGGAATTATTTGTCCAAATGAGAGACGAGGAGTATTAGATGGTATAAGTCCCCAGAGAATGCTTTAAAATAGCATGTGAGTTTGTAGAGTTTCAGGTAGCAAGTTAATTTCAATTTGATCAGTGTTTATCTCTTTTTAAATCTACTTTGTCAAATTCTGGAAAAGTATTATTACATACTGATTGGAGGCAACTATGTAAATATATATCAAATATTAATGTTAATATATGACATATATATCTGAAAAGAACAACTACATGAAAAATATCTATATTTTGACACTTTTTATACATCTGAAACAACAACAAAGAGAGCAAAATTAAAATTAACTGGTTTTTCAACAGTTTAAAGTTCACAGAAAATTAGCCTGTGCGCCCACGTGTGTATTTTGTAATATGCTATGCTTTGCTCTTTTTCTCTTAGTATCAGCAGAAATAATTCTATGTGAATAAAGAAGCATCTTACCTATCTGTGGCTTTAAATACCCTACTTACTCAATATCTTTTAGTTCTTCTGCCTCATCCTTCTCTTCTTCTTCCTCTCCCTATAACAACGACCTATAAATTTGGAGTCTCCTAGTATCAGGGTTCCTCTTCTTATATGTGACCTACTGTACATAGAAGTAAACACCTGGCCCTCATCGTGTTTCCTTGTGATGACCCTCATTGAGGGACAAATGGAAGGTACTTCTCTGTCTGCTACTTTTTTTACCGTCTCTAAATCAAGGGTCTGGCATGTTCCATTAGTAAATGAGTATCAGTGCCAAACTAATGTGTTTCTTTGCAGTAGAGTAAAATTTCAGGTCCTGTTCACATTCTGGCTTAGCATGCTGATGGAATTGCAAACTCAAATGCTTTGTGAGAACCAGGAATGGGACCTGAATTGACAGAAGTATGTCAGGTTTAAGATAATAAATGACAACTGAAAATAAATCTTAGTGTTAGGTGTGTCATAGGAAATACTGGAGACTGAAGCAACTAAGGAGCAACATCTTCTGATGAAATATCCTACTTTAAAAATACAGTTTATTTGACTCGAGAGCACTGTCTAGATTAAACTTAACTCCTGTGAGTAGGATCTAGCCCTTGGATCACTATTTAGTCTTCTCTATGCTGTATGGTGAGATAGTCCAGGACAGGGATGATGTTTTGCTTCTTCATATCCATGGCAACACTTGGCACAATACCTAAGTAGGTATTCATTTTTATTTTCTAAATCAAATACTCTTAGCAAGTCGTATATTATAAAGCTTGACATTAGCTAAGAATTCACAATATGATCCCCGAAATGCAAGAAAACTTTGCCATAATTTTTACCATAATAAGAACTAAGGAAGATTAGAGAAACATCGTATTTTCTTTCTCTTAAGCAGTCTTATATAGTCCTTGGTCTTTTTATGTGTCTCAACATTTTATTTTAATTCTGCTAGTACCACAATTATACTTTTATTATCCATGTTTATGCTCTGCTTAAATAGAATAGAGATTTTATGGACAATAGTTAATGATGAATGTTTTTTGATATATGGTATAATTGAAAAACTCCAATTATTCTGTACTTTTTTTATATGTACAATATAGTCAGAGATGGAGTTAAAAACATAAGACTTGTCAGACCAAATCTGAGATATATTTCATAGAAATTGGTTTTAGGGTGGTGTAAACAATTGTAAAGATGATTGAAAGCCCTATTGTGTGGAGTTCAGCAAATCTGTCCCTAAGTATTAGTTTAGAAAGTTTGAGATTCTAAGCTGACTTTCAAGGAGTTCTAAAATAGGTTATGCAATATATTGGGTGTTTATCTGAATGTGTTTAAAGGGGTTAACTGTATCAGCTTTTAATCAGGTATACCATCAGGCTATAAGTGAACTCTTACAATGTCTGTCATTTTGTTGCTGCATTTTTGGTTCTGGAAAAACTAAATGAAAAATAAGTATATTAAGAATCAGGAAAAATGTAAATATTTGTTCTCTGAAAAATTGTTAGTAGATAGTAAGAAATTATTTTTTTCATAGCTGAATTAAAAAATGTATCAAGGCGTTTGAGATTACTATAGGCTAGTTGTAAAATGCTATGTGATAAACTGCCAATTAAGAAAAATGTGCAGATGTTAGGGTATTGATGATTTATGGCAGTAAGCAGAGTGCTTTTTTTTGTTCACTTGAGGTATTTACATAAGTAAATTTCACTGTGTTTAGTTACGCAGTTAAGTACACAGTTGTGGAACTAATCAGAACTGCTATGTTAGAAAATATTTGCATCCCTCTTAGTCACCTTTCTATCACTTTCACAAAATACTGCAGTTCAACAGTTGAAAAGGAGGGGATGTTTATTTTGGCTCACAGTTTCAGAGGTTTCAGTCCATAGTCACTTGGCCCAGTTTCCTTGTTTTGGGCCTTGTGGTAGCACAGTATACCATAGTGGTGGGGATGCACAACAGTGGAAGTGTATCGTCTGTCAGTGCCGAAAGCGAAGAGAGAGTTAGGAAGGGTCTTTTCAAGGGTAGCTCTCTGATGACCTAAGCTGCTCTCACTAGACACCGTTTCTCAAGAGCAGTAACTGGTATGGATCATCAGGGGACATTTAAGGTCTAAATCATGATAGCATTCTGCCTCTAAATCTCTCATTCCTTTATGTAGTAAGCCTTCCGCATTCCTCTGTGCCTAGCTGCTGGCAACACAAAACTATTTCTTTCCCTGCCCTTTTCCAGAATGTATTGCAAGTTAATTGATTAAGTATGTAGCCTTTGGAGTCACTTAATGTATTGCTTTTGAGATTCACATCTTTTGTATAGCTTTAGTTTGTTCCTTTTTATTGTTGAGTGGTATTCCCTTTAGTAAATGTAATACAATTTGTTTATTCATCAGTTGAAGAATATATAGGTAATTTCATGTTTGAGAGATTATAAATAAAGCTTATATAAATTTTTTGAATGTGTTTGTTTAGACATATAGTATGTCTTAGTTTCTTTTGGGTAAACAAATTCTTACATGTAGCACTGCCACATCACATGGAGGTGTACATTTTCCTTCATGAGAAACTGCTAAATCAGTTTCCAAAGCAGCTGTACCATTTAAGATCACAGAAGTAATGCATTAGAGTGCCAGGTGCTTCACATGGAATACATGCCTTTTATAAATGTTAAATAAGAATTTTTTTCTGTTGAGTTTTTTGAAGATGCAGTGCATTGAAAGTTCCTATTTTGGAATTTCATATTATTTTTGAGACATACAATTGATAAACTGAAATTGAATGGCAGGTTGAATTAATTCTTTTTTATGAATTAAAAGAGCCTAAAATGTGCACACACACACGAGAAAGGGAGAGAGAGGATAGTTTCCATATCACTGAAAATTTTACTTAATAATTTAGCTTTCTTAATTTTTAGAAGCATCAATTGAGGCAAATCCTTAGAGCCTTATTAATGTTTGAGTCTGAAAGTTCCAATGTAGTTGACAGGGCCATTTCATCTTTATTTGCAGTATTTGAGCAGCCATAAAAAGAACTTGGAAGAACTAGTTTATTTCACAAAATTTCCAAGTCAGTGATAGTTCTAGTATAAGTAGAATTGGTCTGTACTGATAAGCAAGTCATTTAGACTAAACTGAATTTTCAATTGCCCTTTAAGTCATTCAGTAAAGTACTAGTAGAATTTAGGCATAAAATTTGGCTTCCCTAGTTTCCATTATGGAAATACTGTCTGGCATGCAATTTTTAATGTTTGTATTTTAATATGATTCTGTTCATTCTGGAAACAATGCCAGAAATTACAGTGGCTTTCCTGAGCAAAGTATGCATCATTTTTACATAAGTGTTAAAATAATTCATCATGATTAAATCTATTCTAGTAAATATCTGGTCTAATCAAAATTTACCAGATTCTCTAGCAATATTAAATATTTGTTAATATTTCCTATTTTGGGGGTTTTTAGTGGAATTGCAGCTCCAGTAACAGCACAAATATTACCTGAGTTCATGGTGATTTATGTGGCTCTAAAGAATATTTAATGAAGATTAGCCAGTTTCATAAAATGTTACTGAATAAGGTTTGTGTGAGAAAAATTTTAAAACCCTTGAAAATGTGTATCTAGCATGTAAGTCTAGAAACAAATTGAGTTTCTAGAAGGATGAGGAAGATCAACCTGGGAAACAGTTAAAGGCAGAAATAGCAAGGAGGGCAGTAAATTGCCTTCAGACACTTAAAGGTTCACAAGGAACTCAAAGCAAATGTAGAAAGTTGGAAGTTACAGGGATGTAGTATAATCTGAATTAAAGACATTTCAAAAACTTGACAGTCATCAAAACCAGAATGAGCTCCATGTGTCTAATGGACCCAGTAACAATATTTCCTGTCACTGGAAGAACACAAGGAGAAGTAAGATGGTTGGAGACCATTGCAAAGTGTTTTTTAAAGGCTTGGAAAGGTTTATCATTGAAGAAATTCTGAATTCCTTTTCAGCCACAAGGTTCCTTAACTTAATTTCCTGCACAGTGTCAACGACTTGCTTCTGTTTTCCTTAGATACTGGTGGAGGCTTCAGTGGGAGATGGCTTCACCGGAGATATTGCCATAGATGATTTGTCATTCATGGACTGCACCCTCCATATAGGTAAGAAGAAACATTTAAGTAACTGCTGTATTTCCAAACTTGTTTTCTTGGAAATACTGCAAAGGAAACCAATATTTCATTTTTACAAATATTCTAAAATACCAACAGTTTTATTGATTCTTTTATCTATTAACCATGAAAAAAATGTTGTAAATCTTTGCTAGTTCTAAGTCTTAAAATATTGGCAAGCTTGTTAAAGATGTTTGAATCTGTTATGTCTGTGACCTATCCCATACAAAATGCTAGGAAGTCATATGTGAAATTATGCTATAATTTCACTTTTTGAGGGGTTAAAAGCAAACTGGTTACCTTATAATTAATTTTTGTTTGAGACTTTGTATCTCTTGGTTACCTTCAGTGATATTTTACTTTTGGATTGCACTTTAAATATTCCTATAATTTAACCATTTATTTTCCAAGTTATAGATTTATATTAAAGACAGAATATGTTGTTCTCAGGTTCACGTCTCCAACCTTTCCCCGGAACTCTAGACTTATGTACTATTCAACATCTCTGCCTAGTTGCCTACTGGGCATCTCAGTGTTAACAAGGGAAAACAAACACAGCCAGGCTTGAAATGGTGCCCCTGGGAGAAACTCACTCTGGCAGTGTACAGTGATTCGGTACGACTAGAAATTAAACTCCTACGGGGTGACCCTGGCACTCAGGCTGGGGCCCCTTAAATTGCATGACGAGATGGAATACAGTGTCTTCCCTGAAGTCATCAAAAGCTGGGGCCCAGCAGCACTCGGTTCCTGCACCCTTAACCTCCACCCTGCCCCTCACCTGGGCATCACTGGGTGGTAAGGAGCCAGACCCTCCCAGGGCACCATCTGTGAGGGCCACCCATTGCTTTCAGTGTCAGGCTTATCCTCCCTTCTAGTCTGTATTCTGGCGGAATTGTTCACCCTCCCTGCAGGAGTTGTGAGTCCACACAACTCTGCAGAAAGCCAAGTCCTTCTCTGAAAGGCCAGCAAGAAGGGACTTCAGGTTGACCAAGTTCACCACTCAATGTCAACCAGTAAATTCCTTGTTACCATCTGGCCTCACTTCTGCCATTCTTCTGTGCATTCCTAGCTCAGTAAAAGACTTTGTTTCTAGTTGCCTATTCCCTACTTCCAAACCCAGCCAGCCTTTTAGCCTCTGATCTCTCACTAACTTCCCCTTGATCCAAGCCACCAGCTTCTCTTTGTGGATTATTATTATATTTGATTTTTAAATGACTTCTCTGGTTCTACCCTGGAAACCTATATTCTCTTCTCAAAATGGAAGCCTTTACGATCCTTTTCAAATTAATATCTTAGAGGAATAAACTAGGCTCTTTCATACCTTATGACTCCAACTTCACCAAAGTGACTCCAGTTCACTTTTCACATCTACCAGTTCCTTTTACCAAATCCTTAAGCCGCTTTAAGAGCTGGGCTTTCCACCTGCGTTTCTCTCTTCTGGGATAGTGCTTCCTCTAGTTGCCTGCTTGAATCCCTCCTTCTCTTTGTTCTGGTGTCTGCTCAGTGGTTTCTTTTTCAGTGAAGGCTTCTCTGAACACTGAACACTTCCTTGTCTGGCATTTTCTTTCTCTGTTTCCTATGTGTTTTTTTTTCCCACACCACCTAGCACCCTTATAGTTAAATTTCCCTTCTCCCTACATAGTGATGCTCAGTGCATGAGAGCAGGTATCTGCTTGCTGTTTTATTTCCAGCTGCTAACCATTGTCTGCACCTGACAGTGCTCAATAAATACATGGTTGATGGAAGAGCAAACAGATAGATGTTCACCATTTTAGGCATTTTCTATACCTTCATTGTAATTTTAGCTTATTACTACTGCTAAAATGTTGAATATGTCTATATGCATGATACTATATTTGTTAAAAGATAAATCTCAGTGGCTTATAACAAGATTTATTTCTTGCTGATAAGGGTGTGGAGAGGCTTGGAACAGTAATAAAAATGGTGCATATTTCATATATATTTCCTATTCATTGTTCTGTATAACTTTATGTGGGTCCAATCTATATGTCTCTGTTCCATACGTCCTGTCTCCCTGGGACCACAGCTAAAGGACAATCCATCTTTCTGAGATGTTCTGCTGTCAAATTAGGGGATGATAAAAAGTAGGCATGGTTACAGTTTCTATTCCGACACAGTATACATCATCTCTACTCGGAGCTATTGCTCAGAGAAAGTCGTGGTCAGACCAGCTAGCAATGGGCAGGGAAGTTTTCTCTGTCCTCAAGGAGGTTGGCAAAGGCAGGGAATATAGAAATTCCTTACAAGAGAAGAAGCTGATAAACAGGCACCATAATGCAATTGGCCATTCAGATGTATTGTCTCACATAATCTTGTAACATTTTAAGAGTCTAGAATAGTGTCTGGTCCATCATCGATGAATGTTGATGTTGAATGTTGAGTAGAATTTATGCTTGTTATCATTTTATGGAGAAAATTAAGAAGGAGATATTTCCCAGAGGTACCTAGCTGTAAAGAGGGAGAAGATGATAGCATGCATTTCTTGGAACCATAGTTTAAACTACTAGTAATATATTACTCACTAAATACACTTACTCTGCAAGGAAGAGGGACAACTTCCATTTCAAACTTAAAAGTAAAAAAAATAAACTTTAAGAACACAAGTGACTTGGATGAGAATACAAAATTAAGAGCAGAAGTGAGATGGGAACCTAAAGGGGTCTGATTTTGTGGTCAGGATTTTTTCCCACAGCTCATTCCAGTCTGAGTTTAGAATTCTTGTTAACTTGGCGGCAGAGGAAGAGAAAAATGAACATAGAAAGGCAACATGAGTCACCACAAGAATGTTCCTTCCCCAGTTATGCTGTTAAATCCATTCTGTGGCTGACAGTTCCAAGGTGGAGGTGGAAGAGTTGCCACAGGCGTAGCAAAGATGTGGAATATCAGTTACAGACTGTTAGTCCCAATTTTCTGGTTCAGATTTCAGAAGAAAAACATGAAACTTTAAAAACTATCTGAACTGTGTGTTTTTTGTGTTGGCTTCTTAACAAGATGAAACTTGGGGTCAAAAACCACAAAGCCTGTTGAAGTTGTAGCTTTTATAAATGGATCTGAGGCAATCTTTATAAGAAGAAACATGAAAATAAAAAAACATGAGACCCTTAATAAAAATATTGCTCATTTTCTTCTCACAGCAGCATGTTGGCAGGAGTGAGACTAATGCTTGTAGGTTTGCTTACAGACATCTATTTGTTTTTATCTGACTACCAATGTCATTTTTCCTCCTTTAGGGAATAAAACAAAAGAAGACAAATTAAAATTCACACACACAAGCACAAAGTATTTACATTATCCTCCAAGTATAGGTTTAGATATTACCTGTGAATTATTTTATAGAAAATGGCAGAAAATTTGATTATTCTATTTTGTCTCTTTTCTCAACTTCACCCTTTCTTTCTCCCATGTCTTTCTTGTTACTTTTAACATCGGTTTTCTCTAGCACCTCTGACTGAAATTCCACTGTCGTCTTTGAGTTTCCTCTGAAATGCTTCCGTTTGTAAATCTGGCCGACTGCAATTCTAAATACTTGTTATATCCGCTCTGCTCTTTCAAGTTTCTTCTCTGTGACCCTGGTTTAAGACAACATTGACTTGAAAGGGAAACTTAAGTGTAAACATTTATTAATTTTTCCTCAATAGTTTCTATGCCATTAATTAGTTTCTTTTCACCTTGTCTTATAACAACATCATTTACTTTTCTGGTTCTGCCTTTTTATTTTCTAACTCCTGGTGTTACTAGTTTAATTTTCAAGTCATTGTCAGTTATGTCTATGCCTTCTTTGTTTCAATACTTTGATGATATTCCCACTTTTTGCAGCTTTATTGAGATATAGTTCCCAATACACTTAAGTTGTACTATGTGATTTATTTTTTTATTTTTTTATTTTTTTTTGGTACCAGGGATCAAACTCGGGTCCTTGCACTTGCGAGGCAGGTGGCAGAACCACTGAGCTAAATAAATCCCTGGCTATGTGATGTTTTGATATATGTCTATATTGTGAAATACTATACCATGATTAAGGTAATCAACATATCTATCACCTCACATAGTTAACCGTTTGTGTGTGGTAAGACTATCCATGATCTATTTTTTTTAAGCAAGTTTCAAATATATACTACAATGATAGAGAAAATTTAAACTATAGGTTAGTTATTAAGGTAGCTGAAGTAGAATAAGTAATCCGTTCCTTTAAGATTTACCTTTCCTGTAATTCTTATTGTTTAAGGTGATGGCTAACTGAACCTTTGACTTGTAACCTAACTGTAGATAACATTTAACCTGGAGAAAAGCAAAGTAGAAATGTTCGGGTAGTTTACAATGTATGTGTTTTAGGCACCATCTGTTTGTTATATGTCTGTGACTATAACCATTAACAGGAGCTAGTGATAAAAGAGAAACAGAAATTTTACCGACTAAGACCACCAGAAATGAGGTAATGGCTAAAAGAAGATATAAAAGGAAGTGTTAAAATAAAGGACTGGTCAGACATTGATCAGACGAGTTTCTTTTTCTTTTTTTTTTTTTTTGGTACCAGGGATCGAACTCTGGTCCTTGCGCTTGCACAGCAGGCGATGAAACCACTGAGCTAAATCCCCAGCCCCAATCAGACAAGTTTCTGGCGGTCCCCCTCGCCAGTGAGTAAAGGCTTTGTTTTTTTTTACCCAACTTCTGTGTCTCTGTACATACCTTTCCGCGATTCTGGAACAACATAAATGGTAACTGTAGTCATCAGAACTTGCTCATCGTTGTGCCTTTGTACTTGTGTCCTTTGACGAACATCTGCCCATCAACCCAACCAGCCTACCCTCATTCTTCATCTCTCTTCTCTCTTGTTTTGTGAGTTTCACTTTTTTAGAGTTCATTTAAAAATAGAAATCATGAAGTATTTTTCTGTCTAGCTTATGTGATTTGGCATAATTGGTGTGGCATTATTATGTTAATACCCTAATAGCAGAATTTCCTCATTTCTT